TGGTGACACCACCCAGGACGCTGGTACGCTGACACCACGTGATTTGAAGTCGACAGGAGCATTCTTTGATCTCAGCTCCCCTCAGAGCGGACGGGGCCGTCCATTGGAATCACACTGTCCACTTCAGGCTGGTTAATTTTATTATACTTGCTACTTTATCTCACCCAATAAAGATGCACCTTCACTAAGGTGCTTGTCTGAGAGCATTTTCCACAGCGCCTTTTTTTCCAGTTCTCATTCTTGAGCTTGCCTGTTTTTGGCTTGCTGGACCTTTGGCATAGTAGACCTTTGTTTAAGTGGAGTTAAAAAACTGGAGTTGATAGCAGGAGTCTTCTAACCTGTAAGCGACAACCAGGGGCGGACTGACCATTTGGAAACTCGGGCACTGCCCGAGGGCCTGGGGTCAGTAGGGGGCCCCATGAGATGCCCCTGGTACCTTTTTCATAGGCTTTTTTTAGTTTGGGCAAGGACACAGGGGCCCCATGATCCCCTATTGCCCGGGGGCCCCATGAGTTGTCAGTCCACCCCTGGCGACAACTGATATTTCCTATTGACAATAATTTTGTACCTGGGATAATGAGTGCTAGCTGGGTTGAAGGTTTTGTGCATTGCACAGTGTGATGCATGTATGCAAAAACAGAGCAACAGCTCCAGGATGGATACCACTGCAACAGATGTGAGCGAGTTGCCCTTCTAGAAGATCATGCTGGAGATCTGGAGGAGCAAGCTGCAACACTGGGCAGAACTGACAACCTTGAAAGGGGTCTTATGCTCTGTGAGCAGGTAGCTAAAGAGACTGATGTGGAAGGTGGCAGAGTTAGCCAGGATTATCAGGTAGGAAGATGGGTTACTGTAGCGAGAGGGAGTGGTAGGGGCTTACAGAAAAGGAAGGCTGGCCCTGGGTTTGAACACCCAAACAGATTTGCCAAATTGGATGAAGATGTGGGGGTGGCAAGCTCAGGGGTGGCAGCCCTGGATGTCACTGCTATCCCTAACAGCCTGGAGGGCAGACCATCTGGGAGGGGTGGTGAGGGTAGTGCAGGAAGGCCTAGACAGTTGGTGGTAGTAGGGAATTCTATAATCATAAGGACTATATCACATACTTGGTGTTAGAGGCCAATGGAGAGAGGGATTTCCTTGTGGCTAAGTTCCAGACTCCCCTGGATATGGGACAGAAGGAATCAGGCCCAAAGTAGCACGGGTCGCCTGTAGGAGTGCTTGTCAGAAGTACACCCAGGAGCACAGCTGATGCACTGGAATGGTGTCTGCAGACAGGTGGTGCCCATGAGAGATATGCAGGCCTTCAGGGTAGCAGAGGACCACAGAGTAGTCGGTTTTTAAAGATAAGGTCAGATGCCAGGTGAAGATTGGAGCAGACATAGTCAATAGGATAGCTGGGGTCATACACAGGAGGGAGAGTGAGAATATAATTTAGCCAAGCCAAGGTCAGATCAGGAGAGCAGGGTGAGAATATCTATTAGCCAAACCGAGGTCAGATCAGGAGTCAGGCAGAGAAAACAGATCCAAGAACAAGCCAAATTGGTAACAGGAGATCACAGTAGCAAGGGAAAACGGACAAAGTTACTGGGGAGCCAGAGATCAACCAGCAATTTGAGGGAGTGATGGGCTTCCTTATAAAGGCCGTCTGGCGCCAAACTGAGCTAATGCATGTGTAACTATGCGCCAGTGCACATGCGTGTTCTGGCTCGCATAGATTTTCGCCAGCATGCAAGGTACTGGCAGGAATGCCAGGTCTCCGAGTACCTCTGCTGTGTACAGAGCCCTGACAGACTGATAGAATAATTTGTTGCCAGGATTGCCTCAACCAAATAGTTTGCTGTCTCCCTGGTGCCACGGTTCAGCATGTGGTGGTCTGGGTTTATAAATTACTGGAGGGGCTGGGCATGACCCAGCTGTATAGGTACATGTTGGAACCAATGACAGATTACATGGAAGATGGAGGCTCCTTAAAAATAAATTTAAAGAACTAGGCAGCAAGTTGAAGGGAAGGACCTCCAAGGTGATATTCTCTGAAATATTACTTGCCATGCGCAACTCAGGAAAGACAGGTGAAGAGTATAGAACTAAATGCATGGCTAAAGACCTGGTGTAATAGGGAGGGATTTGGGTTTATAGAGCACTGGGCTGACTTTTGGTTGGGGTGCAACCTATATGCTAGAGATGGTTTGCACCTAAATGGGAGGGGGTCTGATGTGCTGGGGGAGAGGTTTATGGGATGGACAGAGGAGTATTTAAACTAGGATTGAGGGGGGAGGGAGAATTAAATTATATTGGGGCAGACAGATCAGACAGGGGACAGTTCTTATTGGTGGGTGAATGGGGAACAATGGGGGGAGGGCTATGGAAGGTGATAAGAAAGTTCCCATGTTACAAACAACCAGTGGAATTGGTACCATTTGTACAAAAATAAAAAATATGCAAAATACATCTGCACAAGGTGTCAATGAATTAAAGTGTTTGTTCACCAATGCCAGAAGTCTGCCAAGCAAAATAGGTGAGTTGGAAGCTTTGGTGCATGAAGAGAACTATGATTGGATTGGTATTACTGAATCTTGGCTTCATTCTTCACATGACTGGGCTATTAATATTCCTGGCTATATTCTCTTTCAGAGAGACAGGGTAAAAAGGAAAGGTGGTGGTGTCTGTCTCTATGTGAGAAGTGATCTCAGAGCGAGTGTGAAAGAGGGCCTAGTTGATGTAGAGTGTGATGAGGCTGAAACATTATGGGTGGAACTGCACATGGGAGTGCGTACTACATAGGTAATCATTGACGTTTGCTATAGGTTACCCAGTGTTAATTAGGAGGTGGAGACTCAGCTCCTTGCACAGATCGAAAGGGCTGCAAGGGCTGGGACAGTGATAATAATGGGGGATTTTAATTATCCAGAAATTGACTCGAGTAATGGCACTGCAGGAACAGTTAAAAGGCAAACATTTATAAACTTACTACAAGACAATTTTATGGTACAGTTCATAGAGGCCCCAACTAGGAATGATGTTCTGCTAGACCTGGTAATCTCAAACCATAGAGAGCTTATTACTAATGTCCATATAAAATAACAGCTGGGTAGCAGTGACCATAACATGATTTAATTTATGGTCACCAATCTTGTCTCCAAATATCACCCAAACCGTCCTCCCTGCTCCTCGCACGACCTCCTGCTCTATAGCTCCCTTGCCTTCTCCTCCCATGATCATCTCCAGGATTTCTCCAGAGCCTCCCCCATCCTCTGGAACTCTGTACCCCAATCTATCTGACTATCGCTACTCTGCCCACTTTTAGGTGATCTCTGAAAACCTATCTCTTCAGGAAGTCTATCCTACCATCAGCTAATAATGGAATCTTCTATTGCTCCTCTTATTTCATCCCCCACAGTTATTACCTTTTGTACCACCAGCCCCTCCCTCTTAGATTGTAAACTCCAAGGAGCAGGGCCCTCCTAACCCTTTTGTATTGAACTGTATTGTTGCTGCCTTGTCTTATGTTATATTGTAAAGCGCTGAGCAAACTGTTGGTGCTATATAAATCCTGTAATAATAATAATAATAATAACTGTTAGCTGTAAACAACAAGCACATATATAAAAACACTCAGCTTTAAGAGAGCCAATTTTCCAAGGCTGAGAGCTGCTCTCCAAGACTTAGACTGGGAGGGAATATTGGCATCGATGAACACAACACAGAAATGGGAGTTATTAAAAAAAAACTGTATGTGTTCACACTGAAAAATGTGTTCCCATGGGCAACAAGTTTGAAAGGCTAAATTTCAAACCTATGTGGCTTATGGTTAAAGTTAAAAAAGCTATATATAATAAGAAAATAGCTTTCATTAAATATAAAAATGAAGGAATGCTATCATCATTTAAACATTACCAAGAATATAACAGAATATGCAAAAAGGAAATCAAGGCTGCAAAAATTGAAAACAAATGACATATTGCAAAAGATAGCAGGACCAACCCCAAACAATTCTTCAAATATATTAATAGTAAAAAGGTCAGGTCTGAGCATGTAGGCCCTTAACAAAATATTCTAGAGTGTGTGACCAGGGACAAAGAGGACGCAAATGTATTAAATACCTTCTTTAGCTCTATATATACGAATGAGCACGGGGGAGCTCTTGTCCATAATGGGCATGGTATTGACACAGCCCCAGATGAACCACATTGGGTCACAACTGATATGATTCAGAAATATTTAGAGAGAATAAAGATGAATAAAGCACCTGGACCGGATGGTGTGGTGGTTGTGTGCACAGATTGGACGCGGACAACCATTTTGTTAAAGATCTACCATCTTGTATCATACTCTGCAAATATCATTCTCTCTCCCTCCAGCCCCCCTCCCCTTGCAAGGAGTGTGGTCTGTGTGTGTGCGCTGAGTTCAGGCGTGCACAGGGCACAGCTGGATATGCTTCATGGTTGTAAACCCAATTAGCTGGTTCCATGATGTCTGTCAGACCCTTGCCTTGGCCTGGTCGTAAAGCTATAAATCAGTCCGTCACTGGACATGAAAAGCATTCCAGAATGGCAGTAAAACATACATCCCACTTGAAACCACTTTTTCATACAAATTCATAAATCCCGACAGGAACAAGGTACAATAAAACAAAGCATATATTCTGATAGGTCAGTTTAATATGAGTCACCTTACAAATTACACCCCTATGTGGCACCTACACGAGAGTAGAAAGCAATATGTCGTTATCTGGAACGGTAAGATATGTCATATTTGATGTCTGGACTTTCAGGATATCATTCTGCATATTAACCACCTCCCGCCCACCATATAGTAATATGATGGACGCAAGGTGGTTTCTCTCATTCTGGGAGGACGTCATATGACGTCCTCCCATTCTAACCGCGCATGCTCGGCTCCTGGAGCACGCAGCACGGCGATTGGCGGTGCGCTGTGTCCCTCAGACACAGCGGATCACCGATCCACGGAAAGAGCCGAAGATGTCGGCCCGGTCATGTGATCAGCTGTATCCAATCACAGCTGATCACATGTAAACAGGGAAATGCCAGTTATCGGCATTTTTTCTCCCCATGAGCTGTCACGCTGACAGCTCATGAGAAGAGGAGAGCCGGTAATAGGCATTCCTCAGAGGGGACATGTATACAGATCATCAGAGCACTGTGTGCCCTGATGATCTGTGTAGCCTCAGAAGCGCCACCTGTCAGTGTCCAGCAGTGCCAGCTCTCAGTGCTCATCCATGCCACCTGCCAGTGCCCATCAGTGCCACATTAATGCCACATATCAGTGACCATCTGAGCTGCCTTTCAGTGTTAACCATCAGTGCCAGTCAGTGCCACCCTATCAATGCCAGTCAGTGCCACCTGTCACTGCTGCCAATCAGTGCCACCTATCAGTGCCAGTCAGTGCCGCCTAGCAGTGTGCATCAGTGCCGCCTATCAGTGCCCGTCAGTGCTGCCTATCAGTGCCGCCCAACAGTGCTAGTCAGTGCCACCTAAAAGTGTCAGTCAGTGTTGCCTATCAGTGCCACCTATCAGTGCCGCCTATCAGTGCACCTATCAGTGCCGTCTTTCAGTGCCCATCAGTGATGCCTGTCAATGCCCATCAGTGCCACCTACCAGTACCTCCTCATCAGTGCCCATCAGTGCCACCTATCAGTGTCCATCAGTGCAGCCTATCAGTGCCCATCACTGCAGCCTCATTAGCGCACATCAGTGAAGGAGAAAAATCACTTATTTACAAAATTTTATAACAAAAACTAAGAAAAAAAATGTTTTTTTTTTTCAAAATTTTCAGTGGTTTTTGGTTTGTTTAAGAAAAAATAAAAACCCAGAGGTGATTAAATACCACCAAAATAAAGCTCTAGCTGTCACAAAAAAATGGGTACAGTGTTGCATGACCGCACAATTGTCATTCAAAATGCAACAGCGCTGAAAGATGGAAATTGGCCTGGGCAGGAAGGGGGCATAAGTGCTCTGTAGGCTAGTGGTTAATCTACCAGTGGCTAGGCTGCTACATGTACCTAGTGAAGGTTATTGGCCATGGTATAATCGTGTGAGGGATTTGGTCATAGCCTGAGTCCCCGCCTAAACACCCCTCCCCAAATGAGGCGATTGGTTCTCTGCTTTAAGGAGACACCCTGCTGGGTTCCTAGAAAAAAGGTTGTCATGCCTGGAGAGGGAGATGAAGAGATTCTCCCTTTTAACATCAGGAACCAACTTTGGGAGAAAAGGCACCCTTTTGTTCAGGACAATTGGACTCTGCTTAAACATCTTTTCTGTAAATATTTTTATTGCACCATTTTGACCTTTTTAGTAATAAATTCTATTTTCTGAAAAGCGTTTGAACTGTTTCTAAAGCTCTTTAATGAAAACTAAGAATCCCTGTCTCTGAAGAGTGCTACTGAGTGTTTTAAAACCTCTGGATACATCTGTCTGCGGTGACAGGGTGTATACAGATGCTTATTCAAACATCATAGTGTTACTGCTAAGATTTGTGGGTATCCTCCTTTCTGTAAAAAGGTGGTGGTGGCAGTGTGAAAGGGTTTATTGCGTAATTAACCTAACCCAGTAACAATCGTTCTCAGGCTGCTGGCACATAGATTGTGGTCCAGCAAGCTGGAAAATCTTTGTGCAGGGTGCAGCTGAGAGTGGCATTGTTACGCAAGTGGCAGCGCGGTCTTAGATTGGCTGGTCCTTTGGTCACAAGTTGGTGGGAAGGGTTGGGGTCTGACGCCGCGTCCGTCACAGATGGCATACACCCACGGGTCCTTAAAGAATTGAGCTCCTTCATTTCTAATTTTTAGGGACTCTTTAGTGACTGGCATAGTACCACTAGATTGGCATAAGGCCAATGTAATGCCTATATTTAAAAAGGGATCAAAATCTTTACCAAGTAATTATAGACCTGTTAGCTTAACATCTATAGTTGGGAAGATACTGGAGAGTTTAACCGCTTCCCAATCGCCCTATTGCAGAACTACTGGTACAGGGCGCAGGGCTGCACAAAATCACATATATATATATATATATATGTGTGTGTGTGTCTGTGTGTGTGACTTTGCATTTCCGGGTAGGGGGCACGCACGCCTCCCTACCCGCGCTGCCATTGGCGGCTAGAGCTGTCAATCATCGGGTCCCACCCAGAGATTCCCCGCCAGCACCCAGCAATCGTCAAAGAACACTGACAGGGAAGAGGTCTGTATGAAACTACTACAGATCTCTCCCCTGTCAGCACCAGCACATACAAAGCAGCATGCTTACACAGTACAGCACACACAGACAAAATAGTAAAACAGCACACAGTTAACCCTTTGATCACCCCAGATGTTAACCCCTTCCTGCCCAGTGTCATTAGTACAGTGTCAGTGCTTTTTATTAGCACTGATCACTGTATTAGTGTCAGTATTAGTGTCAGTGGCAGTTAGTTAGTTCCCCCTCTCCAGTGTCAGAATGCCCACCACAGTCCCGCTATAAGTTGTTGATCGCCACCATTACTAGTATAAAAAACAATTTACAAAAAAATCCAGTATATACAGTATACTGCCATTTGTAGATGCTATAAATTTCATGTAAACCAATTAATTTACACTTACTGGATTTTTTTTTTTTTTAGCAAAGACATGAAGCAGAATACATTTTGCCCTAAATTTATGATGAAATTTGATTTTTTTAAACTTTTTACTGGATATGTTTTATAGCAAAAAGTCAAAAATATATTTTTTTTTCAAAATTGTCGGTCTTTTTTATAGCGCAAAAAAATCAAATCAAAAGGCGATCAAATACCACCACAATAAAGTTCTGTTTGTGTGAAAAAAGAACACAAATTTCATTTGGGTGCAGCGTTCATTGACTGCGCAGCTATCAGTTAAAGTAAAACAGCACCATATCACAAAAAATGGCCTGGTCAGGAAGGGGAGTAAATCCTCTGGAGGGCAAGTGGTTAATAAAAGACCACATAGATGAGTTCTTGCTGGAAAAAAATATTTTAAGCAACAGACAGCATGTATTCATGAAAGACAGAAGTTGTCAAACAAATTTGAGTTCTTTTTATGAGTCGATGAGCAAAACCTTGGACAGAGTGGTGGCTGTGAATGTGGTATACTTGGATTGTGCAAAAGCATTTGACACAGTTCCCCACAAATGGCTAATGTGTAAGGTAAAGTCTACCTGCTTGGAAAAATCAGTAAATGGATAGAAAACTGGCTAAAAGATCATATTTAGAGAGTAGTGATTAATGATGCATACTCTGAATGGTCTAGGGTTGTCAGTGGTCTACCCCAAGGTTCAGTGTTGAGACCCTTACTTTTTAATATATTTATGAACAATATAGTGTCTGGGATATAGGGTCTTAAAAATCCAATTTCAGTCTTTGCAGATGACACCAAGCTGTGCAGTGGAATAACGTCCTTATAGGATGTCTCCAACTTACAAGCCGACCTCAATGCACTTTTTAATTGGGCAACTATGTGGCAAATGAAGTTTAATGTTGATAAATGTGAGGTTTAATGTTGATAAATGTAAGGTTCTGCACTTGGGGGCTAAGAATAGGCATGCATCATACATACTAGGGGGAGTACAACTGGGGGAATCAATGGTGGAGAAGGATCTGGGAGTTCTGGTAGATCACAAGCTTAATAACGGCATGCAATGTCAAGCTGCAGTTTCTAAAGCGAGCAAAATCCTCACTTGTATTAAAAGAGATATAGACTCCAGAGAGAGAGATATCATATTACCCCTGTACAAATCATTAGTAAGACCTCATCTGGAATATGCAGTTCAATTTTGGGCACCAATTCACAAAATGAACATTGGGAAACTGGAGAAAGTACAGAGAAGGGCAACCAAACTGATAAGAGGCATGGAGGAGCTCAGCTATGAGGAAAGATTAGAGGCACTGAGTGTATTCTCTCTTGAGAAGAGGAGATTAAGGAGGGATATGAGTAACATGTATAAATACATCAGTGGTACATATAGTGAACTCTGTGTAGAGTTAGTCACCCTGAGGTCATCACAGAGGACAAGAGGGCACTCTTTACGTCTGGAGGAAAATAGGTTTAATCTCCAAATACAGAAAGGTTTCTTCACAGTAAGAGCTGTGAAAATGTGGAATAGACTCCCTCAAGAGTTGAGTCTGGCCAGCCCAGTAGATTACTTTAAAAAAGGCCTGGATTTTTTCCTAGATACAAATAATATAACTGGATACTAACATTTATAGGTAAAGTTAATCCAGGAAATATCCTATTGCCTCTCAGGGGAACAGGAAGGATTTTGTTCTCCTGCAGGAGCAAATTGAATCATGCTTTGCTGGGTTTTTTTTTTTTGCCTTCCTCTAGATCAATGGTGGGTATAGGATTATAATTTTTTTTCGAGTTGAACCAGATGGATTTTTGTCTTTTTTTCAGCCAGACTATGTAACTGTACGTAACCAGCCTCTGTTACCATCACTTTCAGTCTGCTAGCGCTTAGATTTTTGTGCCGTGGCCTGAAAAATCTCTGAGACTAGAGTGCCTTTGCCTTTATCAGACACCTGATTGGTAGGTTGTTACATGTACCAAAGATTCCTAGTTCAAACCTGATATAACATATACAGAGAACTGATGTTTCTCATGAAAATCTTAGCTATTGCCTAGAGTGTACTATTACTGGTACATTATTTGCATTTTCTGACAGATCCACATTGATATTTGGGGAATTAAAATGCAGGACACATTATACACTGCTTTACTTACTTTGGGGCAATTTCAGATAAAAATCACTTAGACATACTCTTTTTCCTCTTGTCATTTTAATAAGAAATAGAACTATTTATTCACCATGTTCACTTTGAGCTTAAATTAACATGTTAGGCTATCTGTTTGCTTTCACAATATGATTCTATAAAACCTGATATAAAGAAAGCATTGAATTTTGTTTTAGCGACTTAGACATCTTTTCACACTCACTTCCTTCCTATTACATCGTTTATTTAACTTTGTAGCTGTGGGAATAGCTTCAGTCAAAAGAAAACATTTTAAGTCACTTTTAACAAAGTCTCACGTTGTGAATATCAACAAATGTAAAACATATTTATCTGGAAAATTGTTTTTCAAATGTGTTTCATTTACTCTGTTATGTAGGTGAAAAGTAAGAAAATGTGCATGTTTTGATAGCAAACTTCAAGGACATTATTTAAAGATATTTTGAGAGAGGAGTTCTTTACTCTTTTGTGTATTGACAACAACATTTATGGCCAGAGATTGTCTAATTTGTTTAAAGTGGAGTTCCAGCCATTTTTGTATTTATTAAAAGTCAGCAGCTACAAAAACTGTAGCTGCTGACTTTTAATAAACACACACTTACCTGTCCCGGGGTCCAGCGATGTACTCACCCATGCAGTCCCTATTCTTCTTCTGTCCTACACAGCACCGGTATCTCTACTGTGGGCACCAGGCTGTGACAGCTTGTGGCTTCACAGCCGGGTGCCCACTGCACATGCGCAGGTCATGCATGCACGCCTCCTGATCGGTCCAGCAGTCTCCTGGGA